TGAGCTGCATGTAGTTCAGGTTCAGTGCTCAGAAACAAAGTTCAAGATCATATCTTAAATAACAACATCCTCCACTGGGGTTTGTTTATTCTTCTCTTTTTTAGAAGAAACGGACTATGATTACAGTGGAAGTGAGGAGGAAGATGATGAGCTGAATGAAGATGAAGGAGAGCCAAGGTTAATTTTATTACTGGAATAGAAAATTTGACTGCCCAAGCTGTTCTCCTCGAAGGCAGCCCTCCTCAGCCAGAATGGCTTTCTTAACTTGCTCTGAATCCCTTATCTCCTCTATCACCTCTGGTTGCTTTAACTGTTTTGTAGCTATCAAATATAACTGCAGAGTGTAAGATGTCTGTAATAAGCTGCTGCTTAGTTCCCCTGCAATAGGGAGGAAACTCTCAAATGAAGGACCCAATAATCAGCTTCAGGCTGTTTTGTAGCACAGTAAAGTGTGGATGCATAGTCAACATGCTGGAGGTTTATCAGAACACCTTAATTTGCTAAAACAGGACAACAAGCAATTCCCAATGCACCTTATGTTCTCTCTTTATTATTATGTTTAGTCATGTAGAAACTTTCCCTTTGTTTCAGCTCCATAGTTAATCTCCCAGGGGAGTCAACTCTCCGTCGTGAATTTCTGAGGCTGCAGCAGGAGAACAAAAACCGTTCTGACCCTCATCGCCAGCAGCAGCAGCTGAAGGACCAGGAGAAATACAAGAAGCAGCTGCTGACGGAGCGGCAGAAACGGATCGAGCAGCAGAAAGAGCAGAGGAGGAGGCTGGAGGATGTAGGGACTGGCTTGTATTGTTGTTCCATGTCTCATCACAAATAAAAAATGTGGCTGTAGAGAGTAGGCTTTGAAGGGCAAGAAGGCTGTGTGAAATTGTCAGCACAACCTGGACTGTAGTCTTTAGCCTTGGGAGAACTGTGTCACTTTTGAACGCAATGATTTTAAATGATTTTATATGGGATCTGTCCTCTTCCTGCTGGCAACCTGCCCTGAGCTTTGGGAGTGGAAGAGGAAGGGCATTTTGCTTGAATTTGTTTGGTGGTGGAAGCCCAGGCAGATGGGATGAGCCATCCCGATTTCTTTCTCGTGTGTTGCCCAACTTGGAGTCTGTCTGTCTGACCCAGAGTCCTGGCCCTGCTTCTGTTTAAGATGTTACAAGATAGCTGCTGCCTCTTCAGCTGTCTGAGACGCTATGGTGTTGGAGGCATTGCTAAATCACCAATGTGTCTCTTCTCATGAGTATCTGATGAAATTCAAGCATTGTGCAAGCACTCCAGAGCTGGCATTTGTGAAGCATAGTGCTGCTCCAGCAAAACAGGGGGACTCTGGAAAAACTCTTCCTTCTCAAGATGATGGGAAGACATTTGTCATTAGATCAGCTGCCAGCCATCACAGAGACCTTGCATGCCTGCTTAGATGAATGGCAAATCTGCCCTCGACTGCCAGAAGGGCAAAGGTTTCACTTCGGGTTTGGCAGTCATTGCGGTGGCAGCTTGTGGCTGCCTGCTTCTGCTGTGCAGTGGTGTATCAGGTATCCCCGCTTAGTGATAATCGGGGGATTCCTGCATAGCAGGAAATGGGCCTTGTGATTAATGAACACTGGCATAAATAATTGGTGGGTACAAAAGTAAAGTAAAATAAGCAATGTCATTCCCTGGCTCTCTTCCAGCATCAGAGGCGAGAGCAGGAGCTGCGAAGGCAGCAGGAGTGTGAGCAGAGGTGGCCAGAGGCTAAGGCCGTTCAAAGGAAAGAGGAGAGGTGTAAAGAAGACAAAAGGGCTGTGGAAGATGAACGGTTCATAGTAGAAGGACAGAGGAAATCGGAAAAGAAGCAGGTACGGAAAAAAGCGTTCACTGACAGCAATTCACAGCTCCCTGTTTCTGTAGCTGATGTCTTTCGCAGTTCCCTAAGGGTGTTCCCATCCTCTGAGTCACAGACCAGAGGGGGACTTTTTAATGCATTTACTGCATCTTGTTCTCGGATTCAGCCTTTTTTTGAGTTAACTTACGTGTTACTGAGTCATCCTCCTTATCTACAGCAATGACGCTGCCTCTCCCACTTCTGTCCCTGCCGTTTCTCTGTGCTGAAATGGTCTTCAGTCACTTCAATCTGATCTAAAATATATTTACCCTGAAAGCTTCCAGCATCAGCTCAACCTAAGCTTAAATCTCCAGTCACCAGTTTCTGTTCGGGTTGTAACCAGGACCGTTTCTTTTTCACAAATAAAAATGGAGCAGAGGTTGATTTTAATGCTGAAGTCTCATTGTCAAATCTGGCACCTTGGTGACAATGTTTTTCTAATGTTTCAGCAGCAAACTGATTTGTAATCGAACGGAAGCATGGAGTGTGTGATTAAATCCCTCTGGTTTTAGGAAAGGTAAAAAGAAAAAATATGATTTTCTGATGTGCTGTCTCAAAAGCCAAACACAGAGTGTTTGGGGACACTTCATGCTTCCTATTGCTCGGGGTTATGGCTCTTCTGTCAGCCCTGCTGGAATTGTGCTTGCTTTGTTCTTTGAAAAGCCAGTATTTCCAGCGGTCACCGTGATTGTCCTCCGAGGCATTGTTCTCTCTGAGGTTCATCGCTCTCTGCTTTCAGAAGGTGGAAGATGTGCAGCACAACAGGAAGGTGCATCGAACTCTCCCCAAAGATCAGACACAGCTGCTGTCTCTCCAGCATGACCACAAGCAGAAGAAGAAAGAGCCTTCCAAGAGTTCAAATTCAGCAGTGCATCCTCCATCAAGCAGCACAAGCAAAGAGGTATCATCTCGGCCAACGTAGCATTTTGGTGTTTTGTGTTTTATGATGCTGTGGTAATGCTGAAGCAGAGAACAGACTGATCTTTAAACCTAAATCTGGAGCTTGACCTGTGTCTTACTACACACTTATGCTACAGTAAAGCCTTTGGTTTCCATTAATGTAGAGGATAAGGGAGAGGAAAGGTTGCTCTGTCACTTCTGCTCAAGTTCAGAGAAGGGTTTGACTGGTGCTTGGGGAAACAGGGCCCTTCTGGTCAACCCGGTGTCATTCCCTTGTCTTCCAAAGAGGAATGCATTAAGGTACTATCATCTGAGGTTTAACAGATGTCTTTGTCTGATTTTAGGGTTCACAGAATTGACCCAGACACAGAATGGTGTCATGCCTACCAAGCACAGATCTCTGTGCCCCAATGTCAGGCTGTGATGCCTTTTCTTGGTCTTTGTCTCCCAGGATTTTAGGTGGATAAGATTTGATGGATCGGGGTAGCCACATATAGTCCTTGATTAAGAGTTGTAATCCATTTCACTCTTTTGCTAACTCTGCCCACCAACTTGTTCTGCTTACTGTTATCCTATTGTGAAAGGCTATGGGTCCATTTCACATACGTTATCTCATCATTCCTAGCACACTTATTTTTCTTTCTGATACAATCCCAACTTGTGAGCCCAGTCCTACAGCTAGTGCGATTTGCTGTGTTACTAAAGTCTGGGTTGATGTCAGAAATCTCAGCAGCTCACAGGTGCCTCCTCGGGTGGCTGTGTCTAAGTAGAATAGTGGATGTAATGGTCTCTGCGTTCATGGCAAAGCATATTCCCAAAATCCCCAAGCAAAGGCAAGAGGAGAGCTCACGCACATGTATGTAGGAGGAATGCAGAGCGCTGCTTCTTAACATCTTGCTGCAGTCTTTAAGCAAGTTCCCTCTTTGTCACCTCTTCATCTGTGTGCGTGTATGCGTGCATGCTGCAACTGGTTCCCTTAGCTGAAATTTTCTATATTGATAAACAGCTAAATGAAACTGTTAGGATTGATGAAATGATGAATTTCAATAACTGAATAGAGTCTGCAAAGAGCTAAGCAGCAATATGAAATCAGGAAAACAGAAGATATTAAGCTCCTTGTTAGAGTAGCAGTTTGTGAAAACAAGAGAATAATTCTGTTTGAAGTACAACTTAACTGTCAAAAAAACCAAATGCCCTAACTCCAAAGGCTTTATTGCATCGACTGGTTAAACGAATCATTACTGAAATTTGAATGAACTCCTCCTGAAATCAGTATTTGTTTGATGGTGGAAGGCTGGGTCTTGTTCCAGCTGGGGAGTAAATTGGGTCTGGACAGAGAAGTAAGCTGCTTTTGCTAAATACACAACATCAAAGTCGATAGAAATGCTTTGCCTTTGCTAGGCTTTCGGTGGGTGGGGAGAAAATGCAGCTCAGTTAAGTTAATTTAACTTTCTTTTCTGCTTCATTGTAGTTAGAAGTCAAAAGAACTGCAAAATGTCAGCTTAAATACTGATCTCTGGTTTTGGCATGTGTTTTGTAAATGACCCTTTTGTGGCAGAATGAATTGTATTATGGAATTTAGTGTGCAGTCACTGTTAACTTTTAATTTAGTGGTGAAATAAAATATCACTAGTTGCAGATAAAGTGCTGCCAGCCTTTTAGGTTCACAGCACAAGGCTCTTGTCGTTATGGCTACCATAATATACTCTAGATTTAAGGGCAAATTATTTTACAATATTACTTACTTAATCTCGGAACTTCTTGGAATTCATGGATCCTTCCACTAAAATTATAATTAGTGGTACAGGGTTGCATTTTTTTGGTTAAAGTTTGATACTTTGTAATTGTGCCAGCAGTTATAATTTTTCACAATAATTTTAAAATGCTTTAAAATTTTGACTGTTTTTAACAGTGATAGCTCAGTGTATTTTTTCTTGTTGGTATTGATCTTTCCCAGTTTATTAGCCAAAGAGATGCTAGTTTCTCTGTTGGGAGAGATCTACACGGGGATAGAGATAGCCCACTCAAGAGCGAATTTGTTTGTATACTTTTTAGGGCTCATTGGCATTTGCAAGACCAATTATTGATACACAAAAAGTCTCCAGAATTATTGTTGCATTGAGGCATTAAAAACAAACAAAACCCCATAAAGCCTCAAGTTTGATGTTTGGGGCCACAGAACCCTTTCTTGGGAGTTCCTCATCTTTGCCATTGCCCCCCTCCTGCCGCGGGCAGGTCAGGGCAGGTTTCCCCTGGTGTATGCAGACGTGAGCTCGCTCTGTGCTACAGCTGGACTCGCTGGCACTGGGGCTAATGAGCTGAGAGGCAAGGGCTCCTAGCTCGGGCTTGATGCTGCAGTCACTCAGTGCCTGGGTAGGGGCTGTCATCAGTTCTGGGAGCCCGAAGTGTTGGCTGCATGAGTTTGGAGCTGGATCATAATATATTGCATGCAAGCACCCTTTGGGCACAGAGGTAGTAGGTAAATTATCATATCTAGCTTAGTGAAACCACTCTAATTTTTACATTTTCTTTCCTGCTTATGGTAAAATTTGCCTTTCGTTATTAGGAGTTGCAAGTAATGAAAATCTGGCCTCAAGGGTAATATAACGATCAGGTTCACTTGGGCTAGAATTTCATGGTATTTGGCTGTGGTTGCTTGTTTTAATAAGGTTTTTTTTCTGTTGAGGTTGGTTTTGGTGTTTGTTTTTTTTTTTTTTTTTTTCCCAGTC